TCTCCCTGCTCCTCAGTCTGCTCCCCCAAAGGGAGGCGCAGGGGAACTGGGGCAGCAGCGGAGAGGAGGCCCGGGCTCAGGGAGAGGTTTCAGTTCCCCAGGCCTTGGGAGCATCTGCCTTGCCATGAGCACAAGGCTTACTCAGGCCAGGGAGAGGCCCTGGCCAGCAGTGAGGCCCCGCCCCCCACCCCCTTGGAAGCAGCTATAGTGCCCTAAGCCCCACCAGGCCCAGGTGAGTATAGGGGCACTTCCGGCAGCAGGAACCCCTCTGCCCAGAGGGAGTATCCGATGCCTTTTTGGCCTCTTTGCATACCGAAGACTCAAGGCTCAGGGTGCCAGAGAGAAGTGGGATGGGGAGAGGGGGAGAGGGGAGGGCCTCCAGCTCACATAGGGAGCTCAGTGCCCTGCGTGTTCTCCTGCACACGGGTGTGCACACACGCACTCACACACTCTCCACACTTTCTCTGCACCTCCAGGCTGTATGAAACGACTGGCCAGGTTCTTCTGCCCCACGCAGAGGTTAGGTCAGGGGAAGGGAGCCCAGAGGGGTGGGTGCAAGGGGGCAAAAAAGCAGGTCCATTTTGGGGTGTTCCACAGCTTCTCTACCCAGAGAGCTGCTGAATGGAGCCTGTGTCTCCCCACTGTCGCTGTGGGACTGGGCAGAAGCTGAGCAGTCTCACTGCCTGCACCAAGTCCGCTTATAAGAGCTGTGCAGGCAGGGGGCTCCCGGGGAGGGCAGGGCGAGCCTCAGGGGGTGCAGCGTGTGCGAGCATGGTGGGAGACAGGTGCCGGGCTGCAGCTATGCCTGCGAGGGGTCCTCCAGTGGTGCCGGGAGCCCCTCCAGGATGTGGGCGCCCAGGGCCTCAGCAGGACAGTGGAGGGTCGTGGGCAGAGCGGGCCTTCACTGCCACAGCCTGTCCCCATTCCCTGCTGAGGCCCCAGCGGGGGGGGGCAGGCTGAGCAGTCCCTGTCTCTGGCCTGAGATGAGCTCCCGAAGCCGGCTGGAACACAACTTTCTGTGCCCACGGCTGATGCTGAATGCTGAGAGCAGAATGGGGCAGAGTGGAGGCCGGCTAGGGGGAGGCGCGGCTCGTCAGCTGGAACCCATTAGCACCCCACCAAGAGCAAAGCACAGACACACCCTGGCTGTGAGCTCTGCCCCTCACGGAGGAGACTGAGGCAGGGCCTCAGTCACTCAGTGCCTCGCCCCTGCTCAGCCATGGCTCCTGCTGTTCCGCCTGGCAAGGTCCGCCCACCCAGCATCAGCTGCCCTGGGCTTCCTTCCCTAGCTCGGTGCCCCACCCCTCCTGCTCAGTGCGGATGGCAGGGCAAGGGAGTCCCTCCACACCACCCACTTCCAGGGGTGCCGACCGGGGTGTCCCAGTTGACCCCCTCCAACTCTGCTCCATGTGAGGCACCCCCACCCCCAGGAACAGGGATATGGTTCCAGCTGTTCTCTTGGAGGCCCTGCAGGGGTCTTAGGGAGAGCTCCTCACAGGGAGGCCAGGCATCCTGGGGTCCTGGGGTCCCAGCTGGCTGAGGACAAGGCGTCTGGACGTCACCGAGGGCTCCCAGAACGCAGGCAGCCCCCTTTCACCCCAGTGCGGCTCCCCAGGCTAGGAGACTCCTGCCACCTCTGCGGGCCTCACCTTGGGGCTGGGCTTGACGCTTCCCAGGTACGTCCCGCTACGCGTCCACTTGGGAGGCAGAGGGATTCCCACCTCTTCCCGCTGGACAGTTTGGGACTAGGGCCCCAGGGGAAGAGGGGGAGGGCTGTCCCCTGCCTCAAGGGTGACACGGGTCCCTCCCCCGCTGGCCTCGCCTCCTCGCCTCCTCGCCTCCTCCCCTCCCTGGCTCCTACCTTCCTCAGCGAGCAGGTGTTGGGACAGGCAGGCGGGGAGGGCCGAGCATCCCTGCCCGGGTCCAGCCTGGCGCGGCCGCGGCGGGCCCTCGGGGAGGGAGAGCAGGGAGAGGCGCTGGCCGTCGCGGCCCTCGTGACCCGGTCAGGATG